AGCCTTTTTCTGGGTCTCCAGAGGAAGAGTGTCAACACACAATAGGCCCTAATTAGGACCCAATCTGCTGAGCTGAGAGCTTCTGCCACCTGGAAGCCGCAGCGGTTTTACATGACAAAATTAACAAAAGGAAACCACATAAATACATCTGGTTACTTGGAATAGTGGAAAAAGCTTGATTGTTGTATCAAGTTGTTTCAAATACTAGTTCCACCCTTTATTAGACATTGGCCATTGGGTAGACTATGGAAGGACTCTGGATCTGTTTCTTGTTTGTAAAACTTTTCTAGCAGGATGGTGGTGAAGATAAACTATAAAATCAAATGTGAACTTTTGTTTACTACGTTCTTGGTATTCATGAATAGCAGACTCTCAGAAATGCTGCAAACATGGCTATACTACAGAATATAATTCTGCCATATATTATAACATTATAATAAGTGTCCGAAGAGCCATATGTTAAATGTAGACATTGAATGTGGAGTGGACCAGGTAGGTTCACTCTCTCACTAAGAATCTTATTGCCAAGGTTTGTGATTCAGATTTGTGCCCCAGCAAAATTATGATGCAAAATGCCACGGACTTTCCAGATTTTTTTAAGCAAATAGTTAAAACTATGAAAGTCGCATCTGCAAATGTTAAGTGACTATCGCATGGTCTCTTTCATGGTGGATTAACATTCTAGTGAAAGTCTCATGGTGGAGAGAAAGAAAAGGAGGAGAAATGAGACTTAGGAGGGTTCAGTCAGGTATGACTATTTTGTGCTGGAAGGTAAAGTGGGAGAAAGTGCAGGTGTGGTTTTTAAAATAATGTCCCTCCACCCCTCATAAAAAGAAGTCCATGCCCTAATCCCCAGAATCTGTGAGTGTTACCTTGCATGAGATGTAACTACAGAGGTGAAGGTCAGAATGATTTGATGTGAGAAGAACTCAATCTGCCTCTGCTGGCTTTGCGGATGGAGGAGGAAGCCCACAAGGCAAGGAATGCAGGCAGTGTCTAGAAGTTGGAGAAGGGCCGAAAAACAGAGTCTCCCTTAGACCTACAAATGGAGCACAAACTAGCTGGCACCTTCATGTTAGCTCCCTGAGATCCATTTTGGACTTTTGTCCTCTAGAACTGCTCTATCCTTAGGGATCCTACAGTCTTCTAGAAGACAAAGACATTTAACAAATAAAACACAGCTAGGTATAAATAAAAAAACTTCAATGATGGTATAAAGAGAAAGAATAAAGTGTTACAGAAAGGAATATATCTGGTGTCCTCAAACTACGGTCCGCGGGCCACATGTGGGTGTTTTTGCCCATTTGTTTTTTTACTTCAAAATAAGATATGTGCAGTGTGCATAGGGATTTGTTCATAGTTTTTTTTAAACTATAGTCCGGCTCTCCAACGGTCTGAGGGACAGTGAACTGGCCCCCTGTTTAAAAAGTTTGAGGACCCCTGGAATATACACTGGGAAGCTAACTTATCCCTAAGAAAGTGGTATTTGTGTTGAGACAGGAAGGAAAGACAGGTTAGGAACTGTATGAGAATCTCACACAAGCAGGAAACAGTAAATGCAAAGACTACATTGGGGAAAAACTGTGATCATGGAGAGTGTATTGAACAGAAAGGGGAATGTCTAGAAATGAGCTGGCTGGCTGGGCAGGCAGAGACAAGTCATATGGGAATTTGGGGATTTCGTTCTAATATTTGTGTACCCTGATTCTTCATTATTCTGATTTCCAACATTTAAACTTTAGCTTTAAATGAAAGAGTAATGAAAATGCAGATGTGATAGTGTCTTTAACTCTCATCTAACCCGGCTGCTTTAATCTCCAGTCGAAGAAAGTGGGGTATAGGGAGGTTACCTAACGAGGTCAAAGTTGCTTAACAGTGCCCCCTCAAGTCAAGGACCAGGATCCCTGGATTCTCCTGACCCCTGTCCTTATTCACAAATGGCCCTCCCAACCACCAAGATGCCAGCAGCTCCAGAAGGGACTGCTCTCTGTCAGGCTGACAGAAGGTCCCTTAGTAGTTTTGTGATGAACCTCCTGGTCCAGCTGCTGTCAGATGCCATAATAGCGGGGTCTCTGAGAAACAGAGCAGCGCTCTCTACTAGAAAAGAGCCCTCTTGCTGAGGTAAATATTAAACTTGGGCTTCAGGAGTGGGAGTGCCCACCCTGGAGTTTTCACAGTGCTCCTCACCACAAGCAAAGGACCTGAGTTAATTTGGTCCTACTTTTATTTTTTTCTTCCAGTATAAACTTTCCAACCTTCTCAAGGTCTATTCAAGGTGGACATTTTCCTGCTGAGGGAAATACTAAGAATAACCTAGAAACTTTTTAATCTTACCCTAGTTGATGAACAAAAATATTTTCCTTTCAAACTAAGCTAATTTCTTATTTTTGTCATTACAATTATTTCAGAAGAATTTGTAGTTTCTCGCCATTTTGTAAGTTGAGAAGTCTCTGTGTGAGTTTAGTGACTTTTTTTTTTTGCCCCTACTGAACATAGATATAAGTAATCCAGCAAATATACGTTAAGGGAGTTGTTATTGTGCCATTTGGTTGCATTATGTTGTTACCTCGTATTATAGAATTTTCTGATGTTCCATGTCTAAATGATAAAATGCAGCCTCTCAGAGCTGAAAGATATTAAGGGGGAGAGAAGATTGCTTTTTCTGCTAAATATCTATACTGAGTGACACAAACATTTTTGCCTCAAAAGGAAAGCCTTTTGGAAAAGAAAGCCTAAGCTAACAAACACCAAAAACGCATCTGCCTCGCTCCTCCCACGCCCAGCATCATTGCAGTCTAGGCCTGGGTGGCCTTGGCCTAGATAATTACAGCCAGTAAATTTGCTTGCTGTTTTTCATAGCACCATTCCTCAAAGTATGGTTTCAAGACGACCTATCTAATACCTAACTCCAGTGCCACAACAGCCATCTCTGGGGGTGAGAAACAAAGGTTGAGAGCCAATGCTCTAGGCCTACTCACTTTAACACATTACAAAAACTACTGCTGTTAATATGTTGCAGTTTGCATGGGTTTCCTACATCAGAATAGAACAGCCTAGCTGAATTATCCGTAACGTTCCTATATGGACCCAGCCCATCGAGCGTTTGAAGTTAGCCTCTTACAAAGGGAAGGACGTCGGATGAGGTGGACAAACAAGGATGCAGTAGCACCCGTTGTAGGTCTGCCCAGCACTCCAGCCTTGTCCCTAAGGCAGGACACATTCACAGTCCAGGTTGCCTTCTTTGAAATCCTATGGCTCTCGGTCAATGTGAACATTGTGTCTCCTGGAGGATGATGTCAATGTTATTAATTGGATGCGACAAAGAACTAAGCAGGGATCAAATATATCTTCCAAACGAGCAAGATTTCCACTCAGGTAGCACCAGCTTGTACCAGTGGTTCAGCTACGCCTCTCCACTGACGTCAGAAGGAGGGAATATACTCCTCTTTGCCTCATGACTCCAAGGTTTTTTGCAACAAGAGACGAGTCTTTTCATTGGCTTAGTTACTCGGAAGACCTGCTCATTAGAAGCAGGGTTCTAGTACTTACTGGCTCAATTATTTCACTTAATTTGATAAATCAAAAATCTATTAGTGCCTAACACACTGAAATACTTTGTGGTCTTCAGATACAGAATAATCTGTGATTCTAATCACAATATTTGCTATTAATATGCAAGTTGGTACTTGATCTCCTTTACTTAATTCCCAAGGAGAAAGACTCACAACCAGAATCTTAAGAAATTTCCTCTATAATTAAATCTACCAAATGGTCACACTTGGACTAGCTTTTAAAATCACAATTAGCTTAATATTATCTACAGAGGTTAAAATGAAATGTTTTTGGAGGGAACTCATCATTCTTGCCATTAGAGATGTTAAGTAACTTACCTAAGATCACACAGGCACAGGCATAGGAAGTGGAGGCAGGATTTGAACTCAGGTGCTCTAATTCTACAGTCTAGCTTGTAAACACTGCAGGTCTCCTCCACATAGGGTGAACAGGCACACGTAGGATGAAGATAGGTAACTGTGAAGCCTTTCGTCCTTGGAAGAAATATCAATTCACAGTTTTCTGTTAGATCTGAAGCAAAATTCCATCATAGCCTCCAAGATTCCTGCCCCTTGGTGTTGGTGCTCTACAACCTCCTCCATGTGTGTGTGATCAAGGATAGTAAATATGGCAGAATATCACTCCTGTGATGAGATTACTAATCAGTTGACTTTGAGTTAGTCAAAGGGAGGGTACCCTGGGTGAGGTGAGCTCCTTGAAGGGTGAAGTATCAGAAAGACCCTCCTGTGTCAGCTGTGAAGACACAGTGTCTGCATGAGATCTACAACAGCCACAGCCTGAGCTTTCGGATGAGGACGCAGCCATCTGACACGTTGATTGCAGCCTTGTGATGAGCTGAGCAGTGGAGTTAGATAACTGGTGCCCAGCTTTGTGGTAGTTTGTCATGTGCAATAGAAAATTAATAATACAGGTCATCTCTGTCTTATTTCTTTGATACATCCCTCTGGCTCTGACTCCTCCATCTGCTCCCAATGTCCTTATCCACAATCATTCGTGATCCAAATCACCCACTGCACGTCTCTTAGGAACCTGCATTTGCATCTATAGCAAATCTGTGTCAATAAATATTTTCCTACTTTCTATATATTCTGATATATTTTTATATCAGATATATTCTGATATATTTTTATATCGTTGCCTAGTGATTAATATATATCTTGCTAAATAATTATGCTTTCTATATGCTTTGGCGTCTCCGCACGTCTTACTAGTTCTGTGAACAAGAAAATCGCTGAAATCGGTTGTTGATAAATTAGAGTATACGATAAGGTTTGTGACCACAGAGCTCATCTGTGTTGTCTCCCACAGAATTTCTACCATGTCACAAACACTATGCCTAGTGCATAGTCAATGCTTAAAAAATATTTGTCAAATGAATGTATGGGGTATCATACAGAGAAAAATATGCCATGGCTAAGCTAATTTACAGCAAGAGCTGCATTGATCAGCTGAACCATGGCCATTCCATTGCTTTTGTGGGTCCCTGCATCCTCACAGTGTCGGATATAGATGTGTCTACACTCGATGCTTACGCAGTGTCGCTGCATGACAGAAATGGAGACCATCTAGGCGAGAAAAAAATATGTATTTATGTGCAACCTTGACTGGAGCTTCAAAATTAGCTGACACAGCATGTGGGTTTTGTTTTCAGACATTTGTTTCTCTTTATCTCTTCCAAGCACAAATCAGAGGGAATAAGTGCGGTGCTCTGAATCTGTGCAAAATCAGATGAAGTGAGCTGGCTGCTTTGACTAAGCAGCAGCGTTTTTACCATGCCTGTGTCAGCAGTCCAGGCCACACTGGGGGTCAGAGGTCAGTGGAACACACCACACATGGCAGGATTTACTGTTTACGCTCAGCCCTGGGTGGTGTTAAGTTCTCCGCCACATAGTGTGCTACACACAGTTAACGCACCACCTCCACACTCCCATCTCCGCAGCCTTATGCAATATATACAGTCAGTGCATAAAAAGCAAAACATTATGAGCATATATTGGGGGAACATAAAAGAAAACTAAAATTTTCAGGGTACTACTTGCCAAGTATCATGCCAGCCATTTTTTTATTTGGAAACATTATTTTATTTGATTCTCACATTAACCTACCTGGAATTATACAGAGAATAAAATGGAAACTTATTAAATGATAAATACTGTAAGCAGCAGGGATTTGAACCTAGGACTGTTCAAAGCCCAGGCCAATGCTTACTTTATGATTTCCCATTAGTCAAAATACATCCAGGAGACAGTGCCTGAGTCTGAGTTGGGTGGTTGAGTTGCCGTCTTCTAAATGCAAAGAAGTAATTTTATTGTCTGAAATACTCTGAAGAAGAGATCTTTCTAAGTGACGTTTGGAATTCACCAGGTGCACCTTCCCCGAGGAAGTGTTCCTGCTAGTGAGGAATGAAAGATCAATTTCTGTCTTATTTTCAGCCTACCTAAATTCTAACTATTCTTGAAGACCGAGTTTAATGCCCTCATTTCTGTGAAGACATATCACTTCCTTCCTTGATGCTTCTAGAGAATATTATCATCCTTCTATTTTTAGTTATTTTATTCTTAATTTTATTACTGTTCATTCAGTCAAATAAAACATTTATTTTGTACTATTCTACACATGGGGACTATAGAGGAGAATAGAAAGAAAAAAAAAAAACTCAACCTATGGAGCAGAGAGCCATGCCAAGAAGTAATTTTATATGTTAGAAACGCTACATAGAAGTATCTAAGGATTTTATACTGGAACAAATGTCACACACAGCTACTAACTATCTCTGAGAGTGACAGGGGGAGCAGTGAAGATACTTTAATTGAGTTTTAAAGGTTGAATAGGATCTTTACTAGACAGACAAAGAGGTAGGAAAGCATCTGGGAAGAAATTAGAGCACACACGAAGACCTGGAGGTATGTGAAAGAGTATTTATGTTTTGAAGACTACAAGAAATACCATATGGCTAGAGTACAGTGCATGCTAGGATCTGTAAGCAGAGTGAACATAGGGAAACATACCAGTCCACGTTTTCAAAAAATTTGTGTTTAAGCTAAGATGATTGAATTTCATTTTTTCTTTCTTTTTTTTTTTTTTTCTTGAAAATGAAGCGAGTTTTGTCTTGCTTACAATCAAGTGAGTGACTGAGCAGGTTGTATTTTAGAAAGATCCTGTTGGAAGTAGGAGGGAGAAAGTTTAAGGCACAGAGGGTAGTATGAGCCCAGGGAGACAGTTTGGGTGCTCACTATTGATTAAGAAATATTAATGATCTCCTAAATCAGTGCCAACAGGAACAAAGAATCAAGGAGGAATTTATAAAACATTTAGATAACTGATACCCAGAGCTAGAGAGTTGATGAAATAGGGGAATGAAGAGAGGGAGAAAAAGAAGAGGAACTTAGAGGTTCTACTTTAGGAAGCCAAGATAGAAAACACTTAAGGAGAGAGGTAGATTGTGAGAAAGATAATTAGATATTATTTTTATCTATACTTTTTAATTCTATTTATACAATGCACAAAAACAGGAACAACTAATCTATGGTCATAGAGGTCAGAATGTTGGTTACTTTTGAGAGGGTATGGTTGGTGACTAAGGTAACACACAAGCTTCTAGAGTTCTGGTGATGTTATATTTCCTCACTCAGGTGGTGGTTACACAGCTTGGCTCACCTGGTGAAAATTTATTGAGCCGTTTATGTATAACTTTATATTTTTCTGTACATATGTTATATTTCAGTAATATATTTACTTAAAATAATTTAAATGTGAAAAAATGGGTAATTTTAGGAGCAATATAAATACAGCTGAAGAGATAACTAGTTAAATGGAAGATAAACTTTTAAAAAATTATGTTGAATACAGAATAGTCTCTGCCTTGCACTTCTATGTAATCTTTCTCAGTTGTTCTGTTTTCCCTCTTTCATTGGCTGCTTGTTCCTTAATTCTTGTTTTTTCCCTAGTATTCTATCATTGGACTTCTTTCCCTCACAATCATAAATATTCTGTTGTCTCTACTCAATAAACCAATATTTTCAAAGTACTACATTTATTCTGAGATTGGTGAAAACATCAATCAATGGTATATGTGTAATATCAGACATTGGAAATATTTGAAATGCCTTTTAAAAATATTTTCTTATAATTTTTTTTTTTTGCTTTACAGTTCAAGAGATGCTTTCTCCCAAAGAAATCCCAAGCAATTGATTCGATGTACAATTTCTAAGACAAAACAAGAGAAAGTAATACAAATTTAGTCATATCAAAGTAGAGAAAATTAAGTCTTAAAATATGGTTAATGAAAAATTTAATGAAATAATATAGAAGAAAGGACACAATTACACTGTGCTATGTAATTATTTTTTCTAATTCTAGGAACTAAATTTGTTTCTTTTTACTCAGCTCTTCTAACTTACTCTGTACCATCCTAAACAAATATGATTAAGATTTTTTAATTAACCTTTTTATTTTGAGATGATTATAGATTTGCATGCAGTTGTAAATAATAATTTGGAGAGATCTCACAGACCCTTCACTCAGTTTTTTTTCTAGTGGTTACATCTTGCAAAACTATATAATGTATGCAATATCAAAACCAGGATTGTTACAGTCAAATTGCAGAATGTTTTCATTATCACAATGATCACTTGTCTGGCCATTTTATTATGGTACATCTACCTCCCTCTTCCCACCTCACTGCAATCCTAACCTCTGGGAACTATCAATATGTTCTTTATTTCTAAAATGTTATCATTTCAAGAATGTTATATAAATGGAGTTATATAGTATGTAATCACTCAAATTGTCATTTTTCATTTAGTATGATTAATTTCCTGGAGATTTGCTCAAGTTTTTTGCATAGATGGATAGTTCATTCTTTTATATTGCTGAGTATTGGTCCATGTGTCTCAGTCCGTGTGGGCTGCTATAACAAGATAACATAAACCAGGTGTCTTATAAACAACAGAAATTTGTTTCTCACAGTTCTGCACACCGGAAAGTCCAAGATCAAGCTACCAGAAGATTTGGTACCTAGTGTAGGTCCTTCTACCTCATCATCTTTTTGCTGTGTCTTCACATAGTGGAAGGGACAACCAGCTCCCTCAGCCCTTTATTTAATATAGACATTAATCTCATTTGTGAGAATTTGACTCTCACGACCTAATCATTTCTGAAAATTTTCACGTCCTAATATGAATTTTGAAGGTACACAAAAAAAATCAGACTATAGCACCATGGTATGAATATACCACAGTTCATATAACCATTCACCTTTTAAAGGTCATTAGGCTTGTTTTAGGTTTTTAGCTGTGTAAAGCTACTTTGAACATCCATGTATAGGTTTTTTTGTTTGAATGTAATTTTTTAATTTTCTAGGATAAATGCCCATGAGTATAATCTGGGTCATATGGTAGCTGCATGTTTTAAGAAACTGCCACACTGTTCTATATGGTCACTCTACCATTTTTACCTTCCCACTAGTATTATGTGAGTGATCAAGTTACTCTACATCCTCACCAGGATCTATGTTTTTACATTAGCCACTCTGATGGGTATGTAGTGATATCTCATGGTGGTTCTAATTTGTCTTTACTTATTAGTTATTGATGGTGAACATATTTTTATATGATTATTTGCCATCAATTACATTTTGACAGTTTGATAACAAGGTACTGATGAATTGTTTTGGTTTGGTTGAGATACAGAGATAGCAATTATAAATAGCAATTTAAAATAGCAGCAGTTATAAATAGCAGCTCCAATATCAAGAGAACAGAGTTGGCTATAGTTACAAATTTGGAAGAAATGGACCAACATGGAGTTAGTGGTTAGGTAGAACAATATAATTTAATGAGAAAGTAAGAGTATATATAAAGATGGATTAGGAAAAAAGATCTGTGATAAAACCAGCATTTAAGGGCATGAAGACTCAGAAAGCATTAGGAAGTGTGGCAGAGCTGGGGAGAGCTGTCATGGAAACACTAAAAAGGTAATGTTTTTTAAAGAATGAAAATTACCTGAAGCTTGAAAATCCATGGAAACCTAGTAGGGGGAGTAGTGGAAAGAAATTTGTGGGGAGGCAGTGTCTGATCTGGGATCACAAACAAATGAAACACATTTTGAGCATGGCAAGCTTGAAAAAGGCAGAAACTGAGATATTCCAGGTCCAAAGCCAATAGGAGCCCAGACAAAAAAGCAAGTGTCTTCTAAGGAAGTCAATCTAGATACATTTCCTGAACAGTATATGTCTCTTCATTTTGAAGATTCAAGATTTCACACTTGGAAATAGTTCTTCAGTGCAGCATTTTATAAAAACTTGGGTTCTTGCAAAGAACAATCAAGAGAAGTCTAGGCTGGATAAGAGTGACTAAAAAGACCCACTGAGCTAGAATAATAACAGTGCCCTGTTTAGGATATCCTACTGGGGATTGGGGGCTGTGGACTTCATTAACCCATTCCTCCAGTAAATACTGGCCCAGGAGCCCAGCTGCCATGAGAAGCAGTCCATGTCCAGTCTGTCAATCATGATTAGCCACTGCCTCTCCTTCCCATTCACCTTGTTTCTTTCTTGGTGAGGAAA